TAAGTCAGATAGAAAAATAAACTGTATAGAGGGACATTTTGCTAAATATATGCACCATATAACATATTATTCATTATAAATTTTACTGTTCTTCAATGTTTAATTTATGTTTGAATAAATCCATCAAGATTTTATGACAGCCACCATTATGTTTATATTTATAAAAAGTACAAATTCAAGTAGAAATATTATTATGTAATTGTAACTTTATTATTTAAAAAACTTCATTAAGTGAAATTTTAACAAATCAGTTAATTTTAACCTTCAATATTATCCCTCTATGGGATATCGTCATTTATAAATGACACTAAGAAAATTGCATTTAAAGTACAATATTAATGTTCAACCAACAAAATTTTGTTTTAGTGATGTCAAATGACATCCCCTTCAACCAGTAAAATTAAAATTTATTAGCCATGTGCTTCACATTTTTGGTAAATAAGTAGTAAAGGAAACATTAGCACATGTTAGGTCACATGCTTTCAAGGCTCCATAGTGAGCTCATTTTAGATTATAAAATACATATAAATTCAAGTTATAAAAAATATAATTGCACATCCAAATGTGTTTTCTAAGGTTTTTTGTTATTTTTAATGCACTTTTATAAAAACAACAACTCAGAGACCAACAAATCTGAGCGTCATGCATAACTGACAAAGTCCTATTATGTGATGCATATTTTGTGTAGCTGGCACTATTGACCAGCATTGGCGGGCAATATAATAGCCTTTATGCATGTGTTTTAGGTTCATTTTTGTAAGATTTTTGGAAGATGGAGCGACAAATCTGTACTTATTTCAGAAATATTGATGATAGTGATATGAGTGCATCAGAAAATCAGGTTGTAGTAATAAAACAAGTTGTTGAGGACCAAGGAGGATAGAAGCAATGAGGGTGAGGGCAGTGATGAAGAATAGGTTGTTGTGGAAGTCAGGCATTTGGGTACATTATTGTATGCCAGTTTGAAAGATGTGATCCATCCATACAACAACCAGAGGTCAGGAAAGATGCCAGTGTCTATTGGCATTACTATAGACAGCAATGCTCCAATGATGACTGCGCAAGTCAACATCTAACTGTGTGGGTTGTGTGGGGTACCCTGAAAAAGAAGAGTCTTGTTGACTTTCACTGGCAGTGAAATCGCATCCGAATTTGTGTCAAGTTTTAGACATTTTCACACGCGAGTTCCAAATCAAATATAGCAGCACAAGAAAAAAAAGTTAACGTTCATAAAGATTTTTAATGTTTTTTGAAACTAAGACCTTTTCACTTCTTTTCAGATAGTGAAAAAGCATTTGATTGTGTGTGAAGTTTCAGACAATTTGCCAAAAATAATTTACCCTAATAGGACAAAGTCAGTTATAAATGACGGATCCTTAAAAAAAAGGTAAAACGACTTAAAGACAGTCAAGTCATGTAGTCTGAACAGCACAGCGATCTGCCGACGTTTAAAGTCGTGTAGTGTGAACTTAGCCATATTTAGCATGCTAGATATTTGTTTGCCGTCGGAGACGCGTCAGCGAGCCTCTTTGATGCATCCTTGAGTTATTCACACGTAAAGATTGCCGAGCGCCCGATCACCCCTGATTTCCCCCAGATCACAGCCGGACCTGTCGGCAAGCTCGTTAATGTGCAAATCGGGCTTAAAATCCTGTAGTGTGAACTAGGCATAACATGTGCTTTCTGCGCCTGCGTGAGAGGAATTAGCTGTCCATATCAGCAGCTTTTAATACTATATGTTTGTCATTCAAAAGGAGAAACTGAAACAAAGATATACGAGATAAATGCAGATATATGAAACGTAAACAAAGCAGCACTTGCTTACCATTTTGAATATCAGTTGTTGATAACTTTATTCATGTTAAGCGGCTCATGTTGTTATTATAATATTAACATATTGGAATGCTTGTAACATTAGAACAGTCTTCTGTTTTTGCCGCCCTCATTTACTTAGCCTACTCGTTTTCATCACTTTCGCTTTAATTCTCTGGCACTGACTCGTTCGCGAAACAAGGCATCCAATCAGAGTTCTCTTTCCCTGACTGTCCCGACGCCGATTCAAACTCCCGCCGACGTGTGGAACACACCAAACAAACTAGCACGACAGAGTCGACGGCCGACCGTCGGTGTGGTGTGTCCCGGCGTTACGCCGGTGCACTGCCATTGCAGCTTACCTATGATGAGTTCACAGCTGAGCGTGGGCATTTCAATCGCTGGATGCGTCAGTGTCACATTTGCAGGCCATAGCCTACTACTTGAATTCCTGATTGGTTGACAGCAAATTTCAAATATTACATGGAACGATAAAATAACGTTATTAACCGGTTAATTAATGGCCATTTTTCGATTCTGTTCGGAACTATACATTTTTATTTAGTTTCTGTTCCTGTCAAAATTTCGTTTGTTTTCGTTCTTTGAACCGGTTCAGAGCCCTGATTTATAAAACATTTATAATTATATAATATACAAATATTTAAGTCGAGTCAATTTTATTTGTATAGTGCTTTTCACAATACACATTTACAGAAAATCGTGATGTTATGTTTGTAATATTTTGATATTTTCATGCCTTAGGGCTCATTTTACACCAAGGACAATAACTATAACGATAAAGATATAGTTTTAAAAAACATTTTAATTGTAAAAGAATAAATCCACACCACAACTACAATGATAATATTGTTGGAAGCCAATCAGAATCCATCCTGCTTGAAAAAGCTCAAGCAGTGGCAAATAACTGCTAACTCACACAACTGTAGCGAACTTATAATAAACAGAACTTTAATGTGAGTTGGTGTGGACACTGATATAGTTATTGTTCTTGGTGTGGATGGGCCTTTATAGTCACATTTAGCAGATTAGAGCTGGGTGTTAATATATTTTACATTTTGCAATGATGTAAACAATCAAGTATTTGAGATATGATAATATAGTACATATCACTGTATGTGAGTGTACTATATGGATGTGTGTAGTTGGATAAGTTTATGAGTGATAATATAGTTTTCACAAATGATTTACTTGATTCAATGCTTATTCATTTTATACTTTATATTTAGAGATGATGGTTGGTCATTTCTTTAATTATTTCTATTGGAAATAGAGTGACGCAGTGCAAGTACAAGCGGATTGGCTGCCCGTGGCAGGGGCCGTTCCATGAGCTCAGCGCTCATGAGGCAGAGTGTTCCCACCCATCTAAAACCGGCATGGAGCTGATGGGCATCCTGGACGAGATGGACCAGAGCCATCGCAGAGAGCTACAGCTCTACAACAGCATCTTCAGCCTGCTGTGCTTTGAGAAGATCGGTTTTACAGGTACATAAAAACCTTAAAGGAAATAGTTCACCCAAAAATGAAAATTTGCTGAAAATGCACTCACCCTCAGGCCATCCAAGGACATGCTTCTAGAACTTGAATATTATTCAGCTACAGGAAAATTGCTTGATTTAAAGCACAGAAATCTGGGCTGAAGTAAGCTAATAACCTGTAAACTTATTCGTCTTTGCTCCAGAGGTGCAGTTCCGGCCGTACCGCACGGACGACTTCATCACGCGACTGTACTATGAGACGCCGCGCTTCACAGTGCTAAACCAGACCTGGGTGCTGAAGGCACGGATCAACGACTCAGAGCGCAACCCCAACCTGTCCTGCAAACGCACGCTCTCCTTCCAGCTCATCCTGAAGAGCAAAGTGAACTCTGCACTGGAGTGCTCCTTCCTGCTCCTGAAGGGCCCGTACGATGATGTGAAAATCAAACCCGTCATCCAGCACCACGTCTTCTCCAACGACGCCAACGAAACCGAGTACGCCCACTGGAGTGCTCTTTCCTGCTCCTGAAGGGCCCATACGATGATGTGAAAATCAAACCTGTCATCCAGCACCACGTCTTCTCCAACGACACCAATGAAACCGAGTACGCCCTGCTTCCCATCAACGACAGCGTGGAGTGCAACAAGCTGCTGGCTGCCAAAAACATCAACCTCCGCCTCTTCATCTTTCAGATCCAGAAATAGAGGCACGAGACGATGGGGATGGAAGAAACGGATCAGACGACAGTAGGAGGAAGAGGGGATGGTGTGAACAAAGAAGCAGCAAAGAGGGGAGACGAGCACCACTGAACCACAGATACCTCTACGGGAGCAAAATAAGGATGAATACGACCCATCAGTACTGCAGTAGATCGTTTGTTTGTGTGTGAGTGTGTGTTGTTGCTGGTTAGCTTTCAGACCCTCTACGGCCAAAAAAAAGTCAAGTCTCACCAACACCCTGCTGATGTCTCATTGGCAGAGCGGGACAAGCCTGAATGAACAACACCAAGAGTCTGGGACTGTATTTGTGTGTTTTTTGGGCCTGTTTGTATGGATGTCAGTCAGTAAAGACCAACAAGATAAATGATATAAGGATCAAGGCTGAGCGAGTGCTAGAGATAGAGACCGGTGTAGTGCAACCAATCATTCAGGCAGTGTTCAACTCTGCATTTGTGTGTTTTCACGCAGTTTTCAGACCTTCCTCTCAAGGCTTTCCCACACAGACGCTGCGGCGCAGCGGCCGCAACTGCTTTGTGTATTTTTGTATGTGAAGGTAGCCATTTTCATTGAAGCGCTGCAGTACAGTTAAGCTGAACAAAATGGCTGCCGAACCCACAACCCGAAAAATGCGATTTGCATGTTTTTAGTTTTTCAGTGTGCTCTCTGGAACGCACAGTTTTAGTTGTGTAGCATCATAGCCTTGTAATCTAACTTAAGTTTGACCTTAACACATTTATTTAAGAACCTGTGAATCTTGCCTTTCCCCCCCTCCAGTGAATGGTTTTCCTTATTATCTTGTCCTGTTTAACCCCCCTGGTTTGTGAACACAGGTACATTTCTCACTTCATGATGTCATCGGGTTATAGATATTTATATTTATTGCTTTTATTTAACCTGGATTAATTAATGAGGTAACAGACATTTCTAACTCACTCACTCACTGCAAGACTGGAAAGATCTGATTTTGAGCCATTGTTACAGACTTCTTCCACCCTCATCCACACACACACACACACACACACACACACA